TAGGATTGGAAATCATGTATTTTACATATCCATGAGATATAGTTATTAGGTTAATGCTTAAACTATCAATTTTAGTCATTTTAATACCTAAACTTTCAATTTTTTTCGAACTTAAAGTTTTGTTTTTGTTTTGCTTTAGTACATGTCATTAAAAATTTTTGCTTTTGTTTCACTTTAGTAACCGTTCAAAATTTATTGTTAAGTTTTAAAAAAAGTGAAAGTTTAAGTAATAAAACGGTCCAAAACTGATAGTTTGGGTACTAAGCGCGTTAAGTTTTTAATGACAAGTACTGAATGAAATGAAAATCAAACATTAAGTATGATTTTAAAAAAAATTAAAAGTTTAGGTATTAAAACAAGCCAAAACTGGTAATTCATTTACTTAATACGTAATTTACTTTATAATAATTTATCATTTTAACAACACTTTATAACTAATATTTTGATATAACAAATAAGGGTAAAATGTTTTGGGACTAAATTTAATTTATTTAAAGTCTTCAAAAATAATTAGAAGTCAAAATAAAAGTTAAAAATATGTTTTTAAATTTTTTCAAACTTAGTCTAACCTTTTCAAAACATGTGTGATTGTTTTCGCACTTTAAAGTCATATTTCCAAGCTTCTCTGGCTCAAAGGATTGATCTCTTAGCAAAATGATCAATCCATTTGACCAAATGATCGTTCCCTTGACCAAAGGATTGATCCCCTCGAGAAAAAAAAATCGATCCCTTGGACAACAGTGAGTTTGAGATCGATCTCTTGACAAAATGATAAATCCATCGAGAAAAATGATCGATCCCTTCCGAAAAAGGATTGATCCCTTTGGTATAACGGTCGAAATATTTGAAAAATGATCGATCCCTTTGGTAAAATGATCGATCTATTATGCCTTAAAAGTTGTAGGTAACGACTTGTAACATCCTCCATGCCGGGTTAGTGATTAATTTGTAAAGTTTCAGCATTTGGTGATTTAAGTAGAATGATGGAAGAGTTCAATGACTTATTTGAGTTATTTTGTGTAGAATTGAATTATAAAGAAGGAAGATTAGAAGGACAAAATGGTCTTTTTATAGCAATATAATTTTGGGGTTAGTATTATATTAACCACGTGGATGTATAGGAAATTAAAACAAGCTTCCAGAGTCATCTTTTTCTTTATTCTTCTTCATACGTGAGACCCAAGCTAAGGTAAGATTTTCTTGTTAGTGAATTTCTTGATGAATTTATGGTTGATTCATGACCATTATGCAATAGTTAAGCTTAAAGGAAGTTTAAATTGTTTTAAAACCTCAAGAGGAGAAGTATATGAATAATTAAAGAAATGAAGTAGAAAAGTGAAATCTTATATTAGAGTTCATAATAAGAATTGGAAGTGAGATTTGACTTGTCATCAAGTTAATTAAGGGATATGAAGTGTTAGAATTGGAATTAGAACACCTTGAAAATTTAGTGTGATTATTGAATGCCATGTAAATGATGGAATTTTGGGTTTAAAGAAGTGATTATGGAATAGAAATGAGTTAAAAAATGTGTCTGGAAGTTAGGAATATTAAAGGAAGTAAAATATGAAGGTTTAAGCTGAAATGAAGTGAATTTCGAGCTCAAAATAGGATTTCTGGGCTAGGGGAATCGATACCCATTCAAGGGGAATCGATACCCCCTCAAACGAATATGAATTTCCAGAACGCTAGAGGGGAATCGATACCCCCAGGGGGGAACCGATTCCCCCATAATAAAAAAAAAAAGAGACTAAACTATCAATTCCTTAAATTGGTATGCTATTAGAGGTTAATTTCAAGACTTAGGCATCTGATAATCATCTTGAAAATTTTGCTTATGTAGATATTGAGCCTAATCGAGTTCCGGAACCATCGAAAAGTAGGATCAATCGAGGGAAAGACAAAAAAATCTAGGTGAGTGCATATGCATAGCATGAATATGTATTTTATTCAGTTCTAGACTTGTGATAAGTCTAGATTCAATATTTTGATACATGATCGTAGTTCATATGATGATGTATGACATGAATCCATACCATATGCATTATGGGACATGAATATGAAAGAAAATGTTATATGAGTTATATGATAAAGGTATGGAAATAATATGTCTACGTGATATAAATTAGATAAATTGTGAAAGCCCGTGTTATGTAAATGAGAACTATAGGTATAGTTGGCATGCCAAGGGTAGAGGGTCTATGTGGTCATTCGGGACATATATGTATTCTTTGGAACATGTGTGAGGTCTGGTGAGACACCTACTTGATCCTTGGTATATGTATATGATTCTTAAGGAATGATATGTGGTCCTTCGGAACATATATGTATTCTTTAGAACATGTGTGAGGTCTGGTGAGACACATACTTGATCATTGGCATATGTATATGATTCTTAAGGAATGATATGTGGTCCTTATGGACATTATTATATGGCACTACGGTGCAATTCTACGCGGCACTCCGGTGCAATTCTAAGTGGCACTTAGGTGCAATTATACGAGCTGTGATGACAGCATAGCGCACAACCTCACAATACTCACATACCTTAGGTTCTCTGTATGGTACCATGGGCTAATGAACTTACTAAGGCGAACTTATGAATGTTAATTTGATAAGTATATGTGTAAGAAACATGGTTTTGGTTATTGCATTATTTACATACATCTTATTACTGCAACCCATCTCATTTTGGCAATTAATTTATATTTATTGATATTATTATTATATTATTGCCTCACTAAGTCGATGACTTAGCGTGTGAGTGTTTCACACGTAGGATCCGATAAAGTAGACGATCGAGGTTAAGCAGTTGGACATCATTACTCCTGCAACTATCAGATCAGAAGCAACTTAATCAGTAGGTCATTTTGTTATGAAAATGGACGTTGGCATGTAATTAAAGAGTTAAGTTGTGTATGCTCTAAATATTTTGGTAAACTTATATTACCATATGTATATTATTGTATTTTTCGTAATATAAGTTCAAGTCTTTTACTATTATTTGTAATGAGTTGTGTTTTAAAAGTCAATGTAATATCTCTGACTCGTATCCGGGTTGGGATACGGGTTGGGGGTGTTACACGACTATTTTGATCTTCAACGGCTAGAAACGACTAGTATCTCATTCTAACATATAAAAACAAATTCAAGACACTTGAAAAATGTTACCAACACCTATCCAATAAATCAGAAACAAGAGAAAAGTTTTTGAATCCTTATTTTATTTACCTTGTAAATATTTGTGTTTTGAGTTCAATTGTATATCGTTATATTATGTTTTTGTGAGCTAAATCTTTGTAAACACCTACCTAGAGAAGTATTAGTGTTTACATATTTATTGTCTTTTGTTAAAGGGTTTTGGTTATAGTTTAGCAAAGTAAAAAACTATGAAATTATAAAGGTTACTATTGATCATTGAAAAATAGAGAACAAATTAGTGGATTTATTGAAAAATTCAAAGTGATGAGCTTAGGTAATGGATGTAGACTTCATTAAAGAAGTTGAACCACTATAAATTATTGTACAAATTGTCTAATATTTCTCTCTTTACTCCCTAAATTTTCAAAAAACCAATTCATTCCTCTTGGCATATTTTGATTGATTGATCGAACTTCATAAATTTTAACAAACACAAACTAGTCACTAAATAAGGAAAATAAAATCATATATAAAAATTTAAAATTTATTTAAATAATTTTAAAAGTAATTAAAGATACAAATAAGTATTATTATCAATAAATATAAATATGAATGCTAACATAAAAAATAATATAATAATAAAAGACGGGACGTAAGAAAGACGATAAATTCTTACTCTCAATATTTTAAATTTTTGTTAATATATCTTTGAAAATTTAATTTTGTATAGTTTTCTTTTTCAATTTAAGAATCACATTGCATGGAAGATAAAATTTAAAATTATATTATATTTTTTAAAAATCTAAAGATTTTAAATATTAAAAAATCATTTTTCTCCTATAATAAATATATTGTTAGGATTTTCGGAAGCTCGAATCAACAACCAGAACGGTTTTGTGTTTAGGGAGTAAGGAGATTGAAAGTTAGAAAATTGCACGGACTTTCTCAATCAAAGACTACGTCCACTACCTTAGCTCATCACCAAGGATTTTCCAACAAATTCACTAATTTGTTATTTCTTTTGAGGATAAAGAGTAACCTTATAAACTCCCTAGTTTTTCCGGGCTAAACTAGAATCTTTCCCTATATTTTACATGGGTTAAGCTAGAACCTTTCCCCTTTACCAAAGGATAAAAGATGTAAACAAGAAAACATCTCTAAGGTAGGTGTTTACAATATTGAGCTCACAATAACAAAATATTTACAAGAGAAAGATGAAATAAGATTGAAAAACTCTTCTCTTGTGTTTGATTGCTTGGATAGTTGTTCTCTTGGTTCTTCAAGTGTCCTTAGCTTGTATTTATAGCTTGGAATGTGTTTGAAGTTGTATATAGCTGTTGGGGATGTTTTGGAGCCGTTTGGAGATGAGAATCCATTTATAAAACAGCTTGGAGCGTGGGAGGAATCAGTATCCCCTCATAGGGAATCGGTTCCCTAAGTGTAAAATTCAAATATTTCGACCGTTTCAAAGTCTTTCAAAGTTCATTTTAATCCTTACTAAAGTGTAAAATTGTGTTTTATACTTAAACTAATTTCAAAACAATTTTACAAAGTATTTTGAACCGTTTCAAAGCCAAAAATTCCAGATTGTCCATAAGGAACCGATTCCCCTTAATGGTTTAGCTCCGAGAAAAACAAAATGCTCGGATGGAACCGATTCCCCCCAGGGGGAATAGATTCAATTGTTAAGGTGGTAAGGGAGAGAAGTGTTAGAGTAAGGGGGAGTAATTTCAAACTTGATTTCAAAATCTTAAAATTACTCAAATGTTTTGTTATATCAAGAAGGGGGAGATTATTGAAAATATTATGATGTTTCGATATAACAAATTAAGTTAAATGAATTTTAAGATTTTACAAAAGATTTTTTTAAGTATATTCGATGTAATTATTCGAATATCAAAATATTACTCAAAGTCTTTCAAAGTTCATTTTAATCCTTACTAAAGTGTAAAATTGTGTTTTATACTTAAATTAATTTCAAAAAAAAATTACAAAGTATTTCAAACCGTTTCAAAGCCAAAAATTCCAGATTGTCCATAGGGAACCGATTCCCCCTGAATGGTTTGGCTCTGAGAAAAACATAATGCTCGGAGGGAACCGATTCCCCCATGATCAACGGTCGAAATATTTGAATTTTACACTTAGGGAATCGATTCCCTATGAGGGGGTATCGATTCCCCCCACGCTCCAAGCTGTTTTAATAATGGATTCTCATCTCCAAACGGCTCCAAAACATCCCCAACGACTATATACGACTTCAAACACATTCCAAGCTATAAATACAAGTTAAGGACACTTGAAGAAGCAAGAGAACAACTATCCAAGCAATCAAACACAAGAGAAGAGTTTTTCAATCTTATTTCATATTTCTCTTGTAAATATTTTGTTCTTGTGAGCTCAATCTTGTAAACACCTACCTTAGAGAGGTTTTCTTGTTTACATCTTTTATCATTTTCTAAATGGGAAAGGTTCTAGCTTAGCCCGTGTAAAAGCTAGGGAAAGGTTCTAGTTTAGCCCAGAAAAACGAGGGAGTTTGTAAGGTTACTCTTTATCCTCAAAAGAAATAGCAAATTAGTGAATTTATTGGAAAATCCTTGGTGAGGAGCTAAGGTAGTGGACATAGACTTTGATTGAGAAAGTCGAACCACTATAAATCGTTGTGCAATTCTCTATCTTTCAATCTCCTTACTCCCTAAACACAAAACCATTTCGCCCCCTCTTTGCAAACCATTCCGGTTGTTGATTCAAGCTTCCGAAAATCCTAACAATTGGCATCAGAGTCTAACTCGTTAAGAAGGTTTAACCACCTTGAGACGGTCCTCGAATAAGCTCTACCAATTCCCGACGCAACCGACAAAGAAATGAATTTTTCCTTCGGTGCTTATTATCTTGAAGAATATCCTATAATGGATTCACAACCGGTAAACAAGCCACCTTTTTTCAATGGAGCAAATTATGCACATTGGAAGAATAAGATGATGTATTTCATTCAATCCTACAATCTAGGAGCTTGGAACTTAATCATGGACGATTACTCCTCTCCACCCGACAAGTACAACGACTGGAGTAGAGAAGAGCATAAATATTTCTAGCTTAATTCTAAGGCTATACATATTCTATTATGTGCTTTAGGCCCAAATGAATATGGAAGAATCTCATCTTGTTCCAGTGCCAAAGAGATTTGGGATAAGCTCCAAGTCACTCATGAAGGAACAGACGAAGTGAGAGAATCAAAGAAAAGTCTTCTCAACCATAGCTACGAGAACTTCAAGATGAAACCCGATAAAGACATCAAAGTTATGACGGATAGATTTTCCGTGATTATCAACGGTCTCAAGGGATATGGAGAAGTAATCCCAAATGAGAAGCTTGTGATGAAGATGATATACTCTCTTCCAAAGGAGTGGCAATCAAAGAAGACGACCATTATCGAAGCAAGAAACATAAAGTCTCTCACTCTCGACGAGCTAATTGGTTCCCTTCTCACTCATGAGATGATGTTGAAGTAAGATGAAGAAAGGGAAGAGAAGAAAAACAATAAAAAGAATAAGTAGGAGGAGGTAGGCAATGCCTTCAAATCCACCAATGAAAGCTATCAAGATTCAAGTGATGAGGTGGATGAAGACGATGATGAACAAGAAGAAGAGATGGTCAAGCTCTTGAAGGAACTCAAGAGATTCATGATTTCCAAGGAAGTGAAACATGAATCAACCAAGAAGAAGAGTCCCCTGGTATATTTCAATTGTCAAAGAAAGGGGCACGTCAAGTATGAATGTCCTCTTCTAAAGAAAAAGGGAAAGAATGCATTTGTTGCATCTTGGAGTGACGAAGATGATTCCAATGATGAAGATGAAGTAGTCAACCTATGCCTCATGACCACTCAAGAAGAATTCGAGGTATCTTCTAACTCAAATGAATTTAATTCAGTTACTTTTGATGAGTTACAAGATGCTTATAATAGGTTGTATTTGGGATTTGAGACCATGAATTCCAAATATACGAAATTAATTTCAAAACTCAAAATTAATGATAATTTGATTTTGAAAGCAAAAGTTGATTTTGAAAATCAAAATGAAATTTTAAAAAATAATTTAGAGTTTTCAAAAATCAAAATAAATGATTTAGAAAAAGAAAATTTCGAGTTAGGAGTTAAGCTTGAAAGCTTAATAAAAGAAAAATAATTAATTTCTAAAAATAAACTGTTATGTTTAAATATGGCAAAATGCTCACATTGCCATTATCATAGTCATATGGAACATACTTGTCCTTTGAAGAAAGGAAATCATTTTAAAATTAGACAATTTATGCATGCACGAGTTTTGATATTAAATGATTATGCATTGTTTTTAATCTCATGTATGTTAAAAAAAAATTGGTTATGATGAACATTTTAATTTTTAATGATTTTTTTTAGTTCATCATAATAAAATTTTGGTCAAAATTGGTTTTAATGCAAATGACATCTCTCTAACAATTGATATTAAAATTTTAAAATGCATAACATTTCTGGAAAATTTTATACATATGCACTTAATTTCAAATATTGATATTGCATAAAGTATTTTAGTCTTGGATATATTGAATTTCATGTGCTACTAACATGTTTGTTATTCTTTGTAGAAATTCAATTTTTTTTAAATGTCAAGTTCTTAAAGCTAAATTTTGATTGGAATGCATTTAATGAGGGGGAGCTTTGATTTTTCAAATGATTTTAAAAAAAAATCAAATTTACTACTTACTCTCCTAAGTTATTTTGAACTTCAAAGATTGAATTCTTTTTTATTTAACAAAAAGGGGAGAAGTGTTAAGGTGTTAAGAGAGAGAAGTGTTAGAGTAAAGGAGAGTAATTTCAAAATTTTAAAATTACTCAAATGTTTTGTTATATCAAAAAGGGGGAGATTTTTGAAAACATTTTGATGTTTCGATATAACAAATTAAGTTAAATGAATTTTAAGATTTTACAAAAGATTTTCAAAGTATATTCGATGTAATTATTCGAATATCAAAATATTACTCCAAGTCTTTCAAAGTTCATTTTAATCTTCACTACAGTGTAAAATTGTGTTTTATACTTAAACTAATTTCAAAATAATTTTACAAAGTATTTCGAACCATTTCAAAGCCAAAAATTACAGATTGTCCATAGGGAACCGATTCCCCCCTGAATGGTTTGACTCTGAGAAAAACAGAATGCTCGGAGGGAACCAATTTCCCCCAAGGGGTACTGATTCCCCCTGATCAATGGTCGAGATATTTTGTAAAATTGTTTTGAAATTAGTTTAAGTATAAAACACAATTTTACACTTTAGTAAGGATTAAAATGAACTTTGAAAGTCTTGGAGTAATATTTTGATATTCAAATAATTACATCGAATATACTTAGAAAATCTTAAAATTCATTTAACTTAATTTGTTATATCGAAACATCAAAATGTTTTCAACATATATAAAATTTGTTCAAAATTATTGTAGATTAATCTATATTATTATAAAAATTTAATTTTGTTTTGAAATAATACGAAATACTTTTAGAAATCGTACAATATAAAATAATAATTTAAAATTTTAAAATCAATAAAAAAACATTTTATAATTTAACTCTAATATTTATTTTTAAATATATATATATATATATTTAATATTTCAAAAATTAAAATTTTAAATGATAAAAATAGACATTGTGCTAAATTGATTCGGTTTATTTGGTTAACCGACCATCTCTCTTCTATCCCTTTCAGTTTCGGCTCCAAACCTTACCTTCGGATCCAGACCTCATTTGGCTTCTCATCTCTCTCTCTCTCTCTCTCTGATCGTGGAAAATTTCGCACTAATTAACTCACTTTATCTCTCTTCAGCCAAAAAAATCTCTTTCGCTTTCAAACCCTAACTTTTTGGTTTTCCGCCCCACAATTTTGACACTCTTCAAGATCGATTTTTCGAGCTCAATTTGGAAGGCTTCTCTAATTTATTGTTAGTACAGTTATATTCATTTCCCCGGAAACTACAATGTTTTGTTTGCCTAGCTCATATCGAGATGCTGAATCTGTGTTAGGGCTCTGGTGTTCTAGAGGTGGGAAATGCTTGTTGTTGTTTCAATCTTTTGTTGCCTTGGTTAGAAATTTGAGTTTTTTTCACGTAATGCTTGAGTTTTAGCGTCTGTTTGATTGCCTGGAAAAAATGGAGGATACTGAGGGAATTTTTATTTTGAGCAACTGCTAAGTTTAAATTGAGCAAAACAAATGATTGTTCTTCTCTTTACACTCTGCGAGAGGCTTTAATTTTTTTCACAGTTAGTGATTGCTTTGGTTGCTTCTTGAATGTTCCTCTCCGTTTCGTTGTATTTGGAGTTCATTGAGCTTGCTATGGTATCCTTTGATGTTTCTTTTTTGTTTCTGTTCATGGGTGAACAACTTGCTACTGATGATGAATTCAGAGCAAAACCTTTAGGTAGATTGACTGCCTGAATTGAATGCATGGAAATTTATATCCATAATAACGTCTTTTCTTTTTAGGCTTCCTTGGTTGTGTTGTGGTGCCATATAATAAACTTTGAGAATGAACATGAATGTGGGCTAGAGAAAGTCCGAATGGAAGTAAAGTTATTTGTTTTATAGTTCTGGTTTGGTTTCATGAAAATGGCTGACCTATAGTAGTTAACTTGAGGAGAATGTCAAGCTTTGAGAATTTATGTTATATTAGAATTTAGTTTGATTGCAAAAAAAGTGAAGGTTCTATACAAGAAAAATGTGTGGTCATTCACATTGTTGACTACTCCATAGATAATGTGAGATAATTCACCTTTGTTCGGTGCGGTACTGCACTTTTTGTGCTTGATTATTCACCTCTTCTTGTTCCATACAGGAAATAGATTTATGTTTCCTTTTGTGTTGGTAGTTTCATTCAACAGAAAAAGTGAAGGCGCCTCTGTTTTCTTTACTTCTAGGTGAAGGGAAGATATTTACATCAAGCTTATTTGTTTTACTGGGATAGGGTGAAAATCTAATGATAATAAGCTATTTCTCTTTTTTCTCAAAATTAAAGTAATTATAACATGACTTCTTTTTTCACACCGAACTAACATTTTGATTTGGCATCATAAGTTACCAAGGGTTTTCAAATCAATAGTGTGAATGTAGGGTATGTTTCTGTCAACTTTGAAGCATGTTGCTTTTCAAATGCCAAGCGTGATTTATTTTACTGAGAACCAAATAGATATAAATTTAATAAGTGCAAATCTTTCTTGTGTTTTTCATATTGTCAACAAAAATTGGTTATATACTTTATTCAAGGTCTGTCACTGTCAGTTTTAATAATCCAAGAGTAGACACACCCCTGAAGTTCAAAGATTTATTTTTTAAAAAGATTATATGGTTTAAGAATTTTGAGAATTTTTTTATTGAATAAGTTGTATCTGAAGCTTATTAAAAAGATCATGTCTTCATAAGGTTGAGTTTTCAAGCTTTTGTTCTCTGTAATGGAATTTCAGGCATGTGAAAACTTTAACTTAGTTCTTATTCTTGCAGGTAGTAATTTTCTTCTCCCAAAATTTTATCTTTGGAATATTTTGGCTTTGATTACCTATGCCTGGTAACGGAATTGGGGACAGGATCCATAATTTCCTTGGCCAAGAGAGTTTCTCCCAGGACCAGCATCAATCACAGGTTGGCTTAAGTAACAATTTGTGGGTTGGAATCCAGAGTCAAGTTGGTGGGTCTCTTGTTTCCAGTTTGACGAATTCAAGTGTTCATCAATTAGGTAATAATTAATGCATTTTGACTGTTTTAGTTTCTACTTGCTCTGGTACAGCAATTGTTGTTCCAAGATCTTAGTCCATTGTTGTTACATACTTCTAAACCACTTTTTAGTTGCATTATTATTTTCCTTTGGCATTAGCAGAGCCTGACAGAAGACATAGTGGTCAGTCTTCAAGCCTGCTGCATGGGCTGAACTTCACAAAATCAGGTCCAAGGCCTGAATTTGCTAGAAGTCAATTGCGAAACCAATCATCAATCGCAAATGGCTATAATCAAGGGCATCAGTCTTTCCAGGCAAGGCAGAAGGAAACAAACTTATTGGGAGTGGATATGGCACCTAGAAGTTTATCAGTTCTTGATTCACCAATAGGAAATGGCCCTGGTTTTCATCAAAAGAATCCATTGAGGTTGGACTCCACTGAATCTCCCAAAAATTATGATTTTTTTGGAGGACAACAACAAATTAGTGGACAGCATCCTGTCCAATCATTGCCAAGGCAGCAATCAGGAATGACTGATATGCAGCTGCTACAGCAACATGATATAATGCAAGAATTAATGAGACAACAACTTCCAAAGCCACCGTTTCACCTACCAGAAACAAGGCAGTTGAGCTCTACGGATCAGGTTTACGCTGTTGCTAGACAGGTATCAGATGGTCTCTGTCCAGTTCCAATCAATGGTGTTCCTGTCCGTGATGCTTTAAATTATACCTGGCAGCCTGAGCACATGACACCAAATGCAAATTGGCTACAACATGGTGCCTCTTCAGCCATGCAGCGATCCTCTGGTGGACGTATGTTTTCCCCTGAGCAAGGCCAGAAGCATTTGACGGGTTTGGTTCCTCAACAAGTTGATCAATCATTTTATGGGATTTCTACTGGTAGTGCAAGTGGAATTCCACATCAATACTCTTCTCTCCAAATGGATAAGGCTTTAATGCAGCAGGTGCCAGCCAGCAGTAATTCCTTTCCAGGTAATCAGCATGCTATGTTTTCAGATCAAGTTGGTTTGCAAGATGGAACTTTGGTTTCTAGACAAGGTGATCAGGATAAAGATTTATTTGGGGCTGTGACTGCTCAAGGTTTAAATAGTCTATTTCATTCAGAAAACTTGCAGCAAATGGCTATCCAGCCAAAAAATGCAGTGATGCAGGAGTCTCCTCAGAGGAATGATCATTGCAGTCCTCCAGAAACATCCCTGGAGAAGTCGGCAATTCAGGTGCCCTCCTCCCAAAATGTGGCTACACTGGATCCAATTGAAGAAAAGATTTTGTTTGGTTCAGATGACAGTATGTGGGATGTCTTTGGAAAGAGCACCAATCTGGGTTCAGTGTTGGATAGTACAGAGTCTTTAGGGGGATTTCCTTCTCTGCAAAGTGGAAGTTGGAGCGCTCTTATGCAGTCTGCTGTAGCAGAAAGATCCAGTAATGATATAGGGGTACAGGAGGAGTGGATTGGTTTGGGTTTGCAGAATTGTGAACCTCCAAGTGGGAGCATGCCAGCATCAATTGTCAATGATAGCAGCAAACAGCAATCCCCTTGGGCTGATGACAACTTGCACAATGCCTTGACACCAAGCTCTAATCCTTTACCCGAGTCTATAGATGTCAATATCAATCTTGACTTTTATAGTGTTCCCGAGGTTCAGCAATTAGGAGCCCAGACTGCAAATGAACGGACAAGGAGAATGCAAACTGATTCCCCTCGTAGATTTGTTCAACAATCAACAGAAGAACGAAGCAAATGGTTATATCAGAGTCCTCAACAAAAGCATGTAGATGAAAGTGTTCGACGATTAGGGAATGTTGTTCAGAATCCTAATGTGCAAGTAAGTGCAAAGAGCATTTCAAGTTCCCAAGGAATAGTTGCATATGATCCTCGTAGTCAGATTCACAATAAGCCAAACAACTGGAACTTCATTGAGTCTGCATCACATGGTGGTGGTGCCATATCAAAAAGTCGTGATACTGAAAGCTCATTGCAACCTTCTCAGAATAATGATAACAGAGGTTCTATGTATGTGATAGGTCATGGTTCTCCTCTTGATCGTCCTGTTCCTTGTTCTAATAATGAATCATTGAATGTGAATTCTGGCTTCAGAAGCCCAGAAGTGAATAAGGAAGGTTTTGATCAGGACAACGTTGCTGCAATAACAGATTCAAGAACAAGATGGGTCACCAATGAGAGTAACCAGCAACTTCCAAATGGCCATAATTTTACTATCTGGAGAAGTGTTGATGCTAAAGTAAACTCTGGACCAAGCGGGGTGCAAGCAGAATATCAGCAAAATCTGTATAAGATCCCTCAAACTTTGGATTCATCCGGAAATAATTATTTGGAGAAGGGAGTTTCTGGAGCAAATATGGATAACCTTAGTGTAAAAGAAAATTCAAATGACAGTATTCACTCTAACTTATCCGAGTATACTTCCACCAGTGGCATTAGAGACAATGTCTGGTTGGATGAGAATGATCCACTGGGAGGAAAACAGAAGTCATCTGTTCAAGTTAGTCATAAACCGTATGGAACCCGTAAATTTCATCTGGATGCGGAGGTTGAACCTTCTTATGGGCAGTCAAAATATACTTGTCATGCTACTGGAGAGTCTACAGACACTGAGAAGGTTAGTTTCTTTGCTTGGTCATGTATGTAAATGGTGTGAAATTGCCAACTTCCTTTCTTTGTTTTGTCATTCTTTTATCAACCTTTATCCATATTGGGATTGTTTTCAGGGCATTCAAGCAGATGAGGTACCTTCCAAAAGCTCAAATCATTGTTCTGCGCCTGAGAATTCTTTTGTTGGTTTTGTGCCAAACAAGACAGCGCCAATTAGGTAGGTGAATATTTGCGGTTCTCAATTTTTACTTTTTAGCTTGACTTGAACATTGCTTTTCTCAAATTTTATTATGGATGTAACTTAGATGTTAGCAAATAGCCTTTTGGATTGTATTACTGTGATAGTAAAAACTCATTCATCATCATCATTTGGTATTTGAAATTTTGTTTTATATGGTACTGCCAGCTCTTCCGCTTTCCTTATTATTTTTTTTGTGATGGTTTCCTCTTTCTTCCTTTATTGTGCACTGAATATTCAAAATTTTTGCAGTAAAAATATGTTAGAGCTTTTTCAAAAGGTCGATCAGACAAGGGAACATGGTACTGCAACACACTTAAGCTCTTCTGAGTGCAATCACTCATCTGAAATGCCAGATACAGAAACTTCTGATGGATCAGTAGGCCAGTTCGAGTATAATAAACGTTCTGCATCTCAGGGTTTCGGTTTAAAACTGGGTCCTCCATCTCGAAGGTTTAACGCTCAGGATCATGTAATTTCATCTCAGAGTTCTCTGCAAGGAGTTAATTCTTTAAATTCAGTCCATGTCTCTTCTGAGGTAGGAAGGAAGGATCATACACGGTTGAGTGCAACAACTTCTATTCACTCCTTGACTCATGGGGCATCCCGTGAAGATATTAGGAATAAAGGCTCACAATATAATATCCAGGAAAACATTTCCGTTGGTTTTACCTCTGGTTATCCTTATTTAAAAGGTCATCTTCAAAGCCTGGATGCTATTGGTGCGAGTAGACAAGTAACACCAGATGAATCTGTCAATGCAACTTTTGATGGGTTGGCATCTCATTTGAAGCAGATTGATGACGTGTCTGAGAGAGCTCAAACTACTCAATTGGGAATGAAATCAACACCTCATATACCCAAAACTTCTCCCGATAATGACTTCTCTTCTTCTGAGACTTCTTTCCCAAGTAGTACCATTGGCAACCAAAACCATGCACGTGATCCAAGCCTGCAGTTTCCAGTGTTGGAGGCTATGTCAGCTTCTCAACCTTCTGCTGCTGAATCTTCTCAGCAAGATGCTTTTACGAAAATGCTGAATGTACGGACCAGTGTTTCATCCCCAGAACATCTATTAGGAGCTAAATTTTCTCCAGCGTCACAAAATTTGTTGGATCCCCATAGTAACTCAGGAACAACTCCTCCTGTAACAGAGAAGCTAGTAGATGATCAAATTGCTCAAACAGGAAATAGTAGCCAATCTGAGTTCCCTGCAGACTGTGCTAAACCACAAAGCTTTGTTGGAGAAGAGAAACCAGCAAAATCCCAGCTGGTATTGCAGGAGAATACTTCCATTCAAAATCCTGCAAGTATGCAAAAGGACATTGAAGCTTTTGGCTGTTCTTTAAGACCAAATAATGCTGTACAACAGAACTATTCCTTGTTGCATCAGTTGCAGGCTATGAAAAATAAAGAGGTTGATCCTAGTAATAGGAGTGTTAAAAGATTTAAAGGTCCAACTCCAGACTCTAGGTTGGATGCTCAGCAGTTAAGTTCCCAAGGCATGGAGCAATTATCTTATGTATCAAATTCTATGATGAAAGATGCCTCGGTTGGTCGTCCTTTAGTTCCTTCTGGAGATTCTAAAATTCAAAGCTCTTTACCAAACACTGGAGATAACCACAATACACATTTATCTACTAATACTATGCTGCCATTTGTTCGGAATGATTCCCAACATTTCTCCAATTCCGATAATTCAGCTGCTAATATCAGTGGTGAACACTCTCGGATCAGTCCCCAGATGGCTCCATCCTTGTTTGTTGATCAGTATGGGGCAATTAAAAATGGGAAAATGTTGCCCATATATGATGCTCGGAAAATTGCCATTATGAATGCTACAGAAAAAGCTTTCATTGTTGGTCAGCCTTCCGACAGTTTGCATGTTCATGCAAGTGAGCAGTTTAATACTGCCACTGACGCTAGTCCTCTGGTTAAAGCCCGACAAAGCTCAAACTTTATGCCAATAGCAAGTGAGTTTATCTCCCCTCCTTCACTTCCACCTGATATTGTGAAGCATAATTTGGTTGTGAGAAGAAAGAAGCGCAAAAGTATGACATATGAGTTTCTACCATGGCATAAAGAAGTGACCCAGGGTTCTCAAGGGCCTCAGGACATAAGGTGAGTGCAGTCAATATCCCATTTGTTGCAATTGCTTTTAACGTTATGCATATTAATGATCCAAAGTGCTATAACGATTCTGAATGGTAATTTGTTAAAATTTAAAACTGATTGCTATTTTTGTGTTACTATCGTTGTGTTTTTCCTTTTTTTGGACTTGTCTGTTGATTACAGTGTGGCAGAAGGGGAGTGGGCTCATGCAGCAAATCGATTGATTGAGAAGGTGTGTTCGATGTCAACTATCTTGAATATTTGTTATTCCTTCCTTAAACTCCGACAGTTCTCATCTTACTCACATTGGTTTTAATTGCAGGTTGAAAATGAACCTGAATTTTTTGAAGATTGGTTGCCACCAGTGCTTAGGTCAAAAAGAAGACTTGTTTCAACCACACAGCTTATGCAGCAGCTACTCCATGCTCCTCCTAGGGTAGTTCTTTCGGCAGATGCCTGCAAAAACTATGAGACTCTGGTCTATTTTGTTGCTAGATCGGTTTTAGGAGATGCATGCAGCATGGCGTATATACCTGAAAGTGATACAGCTACTCTTCCTGAGAGTGGAAGCACGTAAGTACTGGTTAATCAATTTTGAAATCCTTGAGCTCTGTTTTAACTCTCTTATCTGGGGATCTTTTTATTAGCATACTATCTTGTAATGTTTTTTTTAATCTCAGTATTCGTCTTTCTGCTTTTAGTCTCTCTGAAAAGCTTAGGGAGGAGAGAAATCAATCCATCTTAAAGGCTGCAGAAGAGTTTTTCATCAGGGCAAAGATGCTGGAAAATGTTTTACAGAGGTAACTTGCATAAACTTTTTACCGGCATCTTTGTGCACAATATAGTATCTAGTTTACCTGTTTACTATTATGAATCTTGAAGTTCAACATTTTGTGGTAAGAACTTCCGTCACAGCCCATCCATTTGATGCAAACTGCTTTAAAGTTGCAATTGAGTATTTAATGTGAGTTTCAGGAAAAGGGTGTTCGTCATGCATAATGCCACGTCTAATATTGCCAAGTCTAGATTATTTTCGTTAGTTTGATTCCTGATGCTGTATTTATGGTTTTGCCCTAACCTCATCATGATTGTGACTTTGTGTCTAATATTTGCTCTGGTATTTAAGCAGTCTGGACAAAAGAGCCTCAATCTTGGACTTGAGACTGGAATGTCAGAATCTAGAGAAGGTTTCAGTCATCAATCATTTTGTCAAGTTCCATAGCAGCTGGCAAGCTGATGGGGTTGAGATCTCATCGTCCTCGAATGCAGTTACGAGTTCTCAGAAATTCTCCCAAAGAAAAAGATATGTTGTCGCACTACGGATCCCTAAGAATCTCCCTGATAGGGTACAATGTCTTTCGCTTTGATTATTAGTTGATTCCCCCCCCCCCCCATTTTGAGGAGCTTCTCTTACATTGCTCCAAGTTCTTTTGCTCCTAATCGAAGCGCATAAATGAAAATGTAGGATAAGAAGCATTTAGATCTTTTCACATTGTAGGCCATTATGTTAATTCCTTAGAAATCCTTCTTGCTGATCAGAGTAAGCATTTTGATTTCTTGTGGTTGTATGTATGAAAGAAATAATAAACTTGGCTCAGTGGTTGGATCAAATTGATAGAATGTTTAAGTAACAAGGATCAAATGTGTTATTATCTCAATTAGGACAAAATTGATAGAAAAAATTGTTCAATGATCAAAACAATACTCTTTCCTCTTTCACTAGTTCGATCCAAACAAATTATTCTACAATAATAACTGTTTTGTGATTTTTATGAATGCTGCTTTTATAATTATGGTAAAGTATACAAATGATCCTGATTATAAAATATTATTTTATTAAGTCTCTTGATTATTAAAAGTTATAAAATAATCTTTTGATTGTAGGGTGTTGTTTTGTTAAGTTCTTTTACTATTAAAAATTATAAGAATAATCATTTTGACTATTTATTATATTTTAAATTTATTTATTTTTATTAAATTAACATGTTGACTGTGTAATATAATAAAATCTGATCTTAGAATCACAAATGACTATCATATTCAGTTATCATGTTAACATCTAGTTTAGACAATCATAAATTTTACGGAAAATGATGAGTTTGTAACATAATTAATAGTCGAGTGATCTTTTTTATAATTTTTAATCGTTAAATGATTCAACAAAGTAATATTTTATAATCAAATAATTATTTTATAACATCTATTAGTCGATGTATTTAATAAAACAGTATCTTATAGTTAAGCATTTGTATATTTTATCCTATAATTACTTAGGATTAAATGTTTTAATTAAAAATATTTTATAATCGAAAGAGTATCTACATTGTTTATTTATTTATTCTTCGTGGAAATTGAAAGCAAGACTTTTTCCCAATTCCCGCCCATATAGTGCTAAAAAGATCCAGCCATTCGTGTCGGAAAACCAAACAAAGTTGACCTTCCTCTGCCAACGCGCCACGTATCTCCGGTGGCATAACTTTTTGGTTGACCTATACACACGTCGGTACAGCTGTCAAAGTCACCTCACCGGCGAATTTGAATTTGGAGTTTGAAAATTAGCTGGAATAGTCGCCTCCACGTTGATTTAAATTTTAGACAGATGCACAAATTAAGTGATTTTTATGGTGAAATGATTGTTATTATTTTTTAAGTTTCGAGTTTAAGTATCATAAATATTAAAAGTATAAGTGTTTAATGTTAAATGATTAAGAATTATCTTCGAATAAATATTACTTTATACTTATCTCATATTAATAAAGAAAACTTTAAACACGTTATAATGCATGCAATATAATAAAAAGTATCATTTTATTTAAGTTTAATTACACTAATGATCATTTATTCTTATGTATTCATTTTTATTCATTGATTTTAAAAAATATAATATATGATTACTTTCGTTTTTTATTTAATTAATATATAATCATTTTCATTTAGATTTCAAATCCATTATGTCTTAATTTACTTTGCTTTGTTTTCTTTCAATAAGAAGGTGACCATATCACTATATAATTGATGAAAAATAAATATATTAAATTAAAATAATTTTAAATTCTCCAATCGAATGGTGACACGAGACATAATACATGATATTATTTAATCGGAGGTTTAGATTAAAAGAACTTGTAAATAACATGATTCAAATGTGTTATTATATAAAAATATTTAACGATAATTAATTTGTGGTGACTATATATTAACTAAATAAAAATAAAAAATAATCATATATTATGTTTTTTTAAAACAATAAAGAAAAATGTACAAAATAGAACAGAAATAATCAATCACCTAATAACCTTTTAATTAATATTAAATTTCAAGTGTAATTTCGACCATGGACAGGTGTACGCGTGAATCAAGCTGTTTTAATACTAACAGTCACATTATTTTCTTCGCACGTGCCATAAGTGTCGTATAATTCCCTCTTTATAACACACAGCCGCGTTCCCTCTTCCCCTGTTATATTCTCAGATTTGCCTTGCTTCACTGTAACTTCGCTGTTGCTCCGAAACTCCAAGCTCTCATCAATGGCGGATCCAGCGATTAACTCACCAGATCCGCTGTTGAAAGACGAGCTTGACATCGTGATTCCCACCATTCGGAACTTGGATTTCTTGGAGATGTGGAGACCATTTTTCCAGCCTTACCATCTCATCATAGTCCAAGACGGCGATCCTTCGAAGACCATCAGAGTCCCCCAAGGATTCGATTATGAGCTTTACAACAGGAACGACATCAACAGGATTCTGGGTCCTAAAGCTTATTGTATCTCCTTCAAGGATTCTGCTTGTAGGTGCTTCGGCTACATGGTTTCCAAAAAGAAGTACATCTATACCATCGACGATGATTGCTTCGTAAGCTCAAACATTTGATTAAATTTGTTTAGTCTGTTGTCGTGTTTTTAGAGATCTGGGTTTCAACAAACTATCGAGATTCGGAATCGGGTTTATTTTATTTAAAGCTTTGGATCTTGATGTGATGATTTCAATGTTTTGTTTATGGTTCTTGACTCGAATTGTGAACCTGATGTTGGAGGCTGCTTGGTTTTTTTATAGGTTGCTAAAGATCGATCTGGAAATGACATTAATGCATTGGAGCAGCACATGAAGAACCTCTTGAGTCCTTCCACTCCATTTTTCTTCAACACCCTTTACGATCCGTACCAGTCCGGTGCGGATTTTGTTCGCGGGTACCCGTTCAGCCTCCGGGAGGGTGTTCCCACTGCCGTGTCTCACGGTCTCTGGCTCAACATCCCGGATTATGATGCGCCAACTCAGCTTGTCAAGCCTCTTGAGAGGAACACAAGGTATAGTACATATATAACCTTCGATGTTGATGATCACTAGCAAAGAAATCGAAATCAAAAACCGATTCAAATCGTAATGTTTTGTGTTCGGTTTATTATTTATGTTTTTGCTTAATCATGTCATGTCTAATTTCGATCAGGTATGTCGATGCTGTTATGACGATACCAAAGGGAACCATCTTTCCCATGTGTGGTATGAACCTCGCATTCAATCGGGAATTGATCGGTCCGGCAATGTACTTCGGACTCATGGGTGACGGCCAGCCTATCGGACGATACGATGATATGTGGGCCGGCTGGTGCACTAAGGTACCTTATCTTCTTCGCTACGCCCGTATATACTCTTCCTATTAAACTTCAGCCGTTGATCATATGCCCGTTCTTACTCAGGTTATTTGTGATCATCTCGGATGGGGAGTGAAGACCGGATTGCCATACATTTGGCACAGCAAAGCGAGCAACCCGTTCGTGAACCTTAAGAAAGAATACAAAGGGATTTACTGGCAAGAAGAGTTGATCCCGTTCTTCCAATCGGTCACCCTCCCGAAGGATTGCACCAGCGTTCAAAAATGCTACGTCGAACTCGCCAAGCAGGTGAAGGAGAAGCTCGGCAAGGTCGACGACTACTTCGACAAGCTCGCAGATGCTATGCTGACATGGATTGAAGCATGGGATGAACTCAACCCATCGGGTGCAACCAAATCTGCCGAGTTGCCTAATGGTGCTTCGAAATAAACTCTCCTCACCTAGAACAGCTAGCGTTCCGTTCAGCCGACGTACGTCGTCGGCTCGCATCGCAATGCTTCCGGCTTGTATCGTAACGCCGATCATACATTTTTGTCCGAGCTCTTGCATTAGAGCTTTTGAATTATTATTTTGCAGGGTTTATATGTATATTGATTTACCATATTACCGAGTTTAGAAATCGATGGTCTGTCTTTTGTTTTAGATTTGTTGGGTTAATTTAATACTATTCAGAGATTATTTCAATTAGATATTCAATTTCGATTGCATGAATTTAAAAATTTTAAATTTTTATATATTTTAAATATACATTTTTCTATTAAAATTATATTTTCTACTCCTAAAATTTTATAAATTTGTCTATTTATAACCTACAAACAAGCAAAAAAAAAAAATGATCATAATACATTCTTGTCAACCGTGCTTAAAAATTACAATGAAAGTTTATCAAATTCGTAAATTAAAATATAAAATATTTTCATATAATCATGAACACAAGGAACTAGTCATTAAGATTACAAAATAATCATACAACAAAAAGTTTGAAAATCTAACTAAATAAATTCGAATAAAAGTTAAATACGAACTAATATGATTATATTGACAAATGAATCACAAAATAAGATCAAACTATTGAAAGATCATTAACAAACCACAAATTAAAATCGAACTACGTGAGAAAATTATTCACGAACGTAAATCGTATATCTGAATCTAATATAAGATTCTAAAGTAGGAAAGATTAACATGATAACAAACCAATAACAATATTGATATAATTTTTTATTATAACTATATATTTCATAATATCACTATTAATTTTTTAATGATTCATAATTAAAATAAAAAAACACTCAATATAAATAACTATTTTATGTAAAAATTAATGATCAAAATGAGATATATATAAAACATTGATGACCGGTAGGATAGTTTACCCGAAAATAAAACACACACAGATTTATGACATGGTCTCGTGTGCTTGTTCTATTCTCTTTTCATTGTCGTTTCCCTCTCTTTTGCATATCTATAAACCAAAATACTGAACCAATAAAAACACGGGAAAAAACCCTTCCTCTCTTGTTAAAGTCTTTACCTTTAACTCTTCATGCTAACACAAAGAAAACCCAGATCCCGTAACCGTCTGTTCTTATTCATATAGGCCTTTGATTCGCACTAAAAGCAGACCTCACAGTTGTCTTTGTTGTTGTCTCTTTTGCGTTGTTTGTTTTGAGCTTTCATAGAGTGTAAAAAAAGAAGAGCGGTGGAGTGATTGTGTAACAAAATTTTCCTTGAAAATTTTCGTTTATGATCGAATCTGATGAGAAGGGTATTTGAGAAGTCTCGATTTGGTGGTCGAATTGTGGAGGGTATTTGGTTTGTAAGATGCGGCGGCGGGCCACCGATTACCGGCGCCCGGTTCGAAGGAGGCTTTCACATTGGATCTGTGCGTTGTTTGGGCTGTTCGTTATCGCTGTATTGGTTTTGTTCGTAGTTCATCACAATCGTAATGAAGATCGGGTCGAGCATCCTGTTCATGTAAGAACACGAACGACACAAATCTCTAGTTTTGATCTTTTTTATACATGTTTAAATTTCGTCTGTTTTTGTTTTCATTTTGATCTTTTGATTATCTGTTTCTATGTATCTGTTTGTTTAGATTGTTTTTACGTTATTCAATACTTGTTCATAGGATTTAAAAGTATAAGGATGAATTTGAAGTTGATTTTAGTGCTCTTTTGGCTGTAATTCCCAATTACACACGCATATATGTATGTGTATATAATATAAGATAATGAAATAATCCTAATAATTATGGATATTAAAACCTAGAAATCAATTCACATATGGAAACAACACTAAGATCAAAACCTCGAGTATCACTAAGAAACCAGCTTTCAGCCCTGCAGCATTGCTTGTATGAGCAATGGCCGGTTGCTCAACCTCTGCACGAAAATGTGCCGGGAGAGATTCCAGTGTACCTGTGTCTTAGAGACGATACAACCATGCTCTCACTGACACTTAGCTCCACGGATGAAGTAAAATGGTCATATCTTTTGAAGCTTCACCTTGGTGATTCTGTCCTTGTACTTGGTATGAGGTATTGCAGCTTGCATAACTCTCCATAGACACTCGCAGCACTGAGTCTTTGTCGCCATCATATTCCTCAAGAGAGTCTCCAGTCTCCACCATTACTTGACTAAGCCTCCCACTTTTAGTATTACTGTTGTTTGAAAGACTTTTTATCTTGCTCAGTATCATACTATGTCGAATCTAGTCAGGCGTTGTCTACTTAGAATAAACAATCCCTCGGTAACCAAAATTTATAGTTGATACGTGATTCCCTTGTTTTTAATAGGATTAGGAATATGGTTCAATATAAATATCATTTTCAATGAGATTACGATATGCAGCTTAACCAGCCTTTGTTTAGTGCTATTGAGGTTTAAGATCAAATTTCACCGGTGTCAACCGTAGATGTGTCTTTTAACTTGGAAAAAAAGTAGAAACTTTAATGCAACAACATTTTGTGTTGAATAAATTATAAATTTGATGTTTGCATGTATTAGCATGTTATTTTGTATTTTGCTGTGTAGTTGCTTTTGTGTTTATTCATAAGAATCTATCATGGAGGTAAATATACTATAAACGCCGAAGCTATCTAAGAAGTAACCGTCTTATAATGATAGGGTGTTTTCATTGAATCTAGTATTGTTATAAGATTTATAAAATGATATCGACACATGGATTTCATAATCTTGGTTTGTGGAAGTCCCTATGGTAACTCAAAATAGGATTCTTTTATGCAATTCAAGGATGCAAATGCAAGGTAATTAATGTGGATGGAGAAATATCCTTTTAGAGTTCATAACCATATAAACATGCTGCTGCCAGTTTGCTACATATGGGAACCATTATCTAGCGTTACTCTACGACTTCCTTACTATGCCGGCAGTAAGATAGTGACTGTTCATTACTGAAAAATACCGTGTTTTCCAGCATCTTCAATAATCGATGATTGCTTTTTCACTTCTAGTTTCCTGAATAAGAACATTGTGGTAGTATGTCCTTTTGATTGATCAACGGGAATGCAAAGTTCAGGAACCCAGCTGAAAACGAAAAGCAATAAGTACGTGGTGTAATGGCAAATAAATTTGTGCCTGAAATTGCCTTGATCGCTCTTTAAGATAAGAAGGAAGGAGGAGTTGGAATATCCGTATGTACTTCTGTGCTATATGCTTTTATGTAGTTTACCGCATGTCTTATTTTATCTTCCATTACCGACTTTAAGTATTTGAAGGTTAACTGAATCAGTGTACTTCATAGCTATTTTCTTTTTATATGATTATTGCATGGCTTTCTTATCAATGACATTCGCCTTTCCAGGAGGAAGATTCAAGAATGGAGCGGGGTGTTCGTAAGAAGTTAAACTTTACTGAAGAAATATTGGGTGCTACGTCATTGTCTCGGCAGTTGGCAGAACAAATGACACTCGCCAAAGCTTATGTCATAATTGCAAAAGAGCACAATCACTTTTACCTTGCCTGGGAGCTAAGTTTGATGATTCGGAGTTGCCAGCTTTTGCTTTCTAAAGCTGCAATGAGAGGGAGGCCCATTACACTGGAGGAAGCGGAGCCAATAAATACCCGTCAATCATCTCCAATATATAAGGCTCAAGATGCTCATTATGACATTGCAACTACGATAGTGACGATGAAATCTCATATTCAAGCCCTTGAAGAGCGAGCCAATGCCGCAACTGCTCAGAGTACGGTTTTTGGACAATTGGTTGCAGAGGCATTTCCTAAGAGTCTTCACTGCCTAATTCTCAAGCTTTCCGCTGATTGGCTTAAAAGGTTGCCCCTTCAAGACCTCGCAAACGAGCGGAGAAACTCTGCTCGATTCGTTGACAACAATCTTTATCATTTCTGCGTATTTTCAGACAATGTCCTTGCTACCTCAGTTGTCGTTAATTCTACGATTTCCAATGCTGATCATTCTAAGCAGATGGTTTTCCACATTATCACTAATGGGGTTACCTATGGAGCTATGCAAGCTTGGTTCCAAAGTAACGACTTTAAGGGGGGCCATGATAGAGGTGCAGAACATCGAGGAGTTTACTTGGTTGAATGTTTCTTACGCTCCCATCGTAAAGCAGCTACTTGATGTAGACTCACGGGCCTATTATTTTGGGGAAAATCCAGATGTTGAGCCGAGATTGCAGAACCCGAAATACATTGCCTTGTTGAATCACCTTCGGTTTTACATACCAGAGATCTATCCTCAACTTGAGAAGATAGTATTCCTTGATGATGATGTTGTTGTGCAGAAAGATCTAACACCGCTTTTCTCACTGGATTTGCATGGGAATGTAAATGGGGCAGTGGAGACTTGTCTCGAAGCATATCATCGTTATTTCAAGTATCTAAATTTCTCAAATCCCATCATCAGCTCGAAATTTGACCCGCAAGCATGTGGATGGGCGTTTGGCATGAACGTTTTCGATCTAGTTGCCTGGAGGAAAGCTAATGTCACCGCAAGGTACCATTACTGGAAGGAACAAAACACTGATAAGACACTTTGGAAACTCAGAACTCTACCTGTCGGTCTTTTAGCCTTTTATGGCCTGACAGAACCACTCGATCGAAAATGGCATGTGTTAGGATTAGGTTACGATCTCAACATCGACAACCGCTTGATCGAGAGTGCAGCAGTCATTCACTTCAACGGGAACATGAAGCCATGGCTAAAACTGGCCATCGGGAGGTATAAGCCTCTATGGGAAAGGTACATAAATCTTGGCCACCCATATACCCAAGATTGTGCCACAAGTTAGAAAAAAATGTGCTCGTAGTTTATGCGACCGACGACGATATGAACCCATTGAAAGGCCAATCGAATTATTTTTTGACATTGTTAGGAGATTTGACATATCCTTTTTGTTAGTTTTCTTCTTCTTCTTTTTGTTCATCACAGTATCTTGACAGGAAAAAAGAATGATTCTCTTATGCAGAAGAAAGAAGTTTGAAAGGGTAAAGATTTGTGGGAAAATTCATATTTGGTTGATGGGGTCTTGTTTGATCCCCTCAAGCATGAAAAACTTCAGTTTTTTTTTTATACAAATTGTTGTAATAATCTGATATTTTTGGACCATATATATTTATTGTAAGCTGAATCTCCCTGTAAACATGAAGCAGCTTTT